CACAGCACGATAATTTACACATTGACAGATGCTAAATTGTAACGCCGATAAGTATCCGAACAAACTGACATACACGTTCATTTATATGTTCATACTGTTGTTCATAGAATGTTTCCGTCTTTTAACCGTAACCTGAGTCCAAATGCCTACAGTCCTTCGGTTTATTGTGCTGCGTTTACGGAGCTTCCATTACCACTGCAGTGCGAACTTGACTGGATCTAGTTTGCTAGTTTGCTAGTCTATTCACCGATTCGTAAGTCACTCTGTGTCTTTGTTGCGAAATGCTTGTAGAATCACGGTTTATTCCGTACAAATTATTCCGCCCACCGCTCTCATATTTTACCACCCAGACAGTGCGTACTTCTGGTGATTAGGCTTGTCAGTCGGCAGTACCTGTCGCAGCTGCAGCCAGATATTTCCTTTCCTTACCTCATGGCATTAGGCACGCAACTACTGCACCTTATCATCCACCAGCAAACAGTTTGACGGAGAGAGTTTTGCAAACATTGTAAAATATGTTATTGAAGCAGCCAGCAGCCCCGCTACGTGTGCGTCTAGACCGTACTCTTTTTACTAACCGAAACAGTGCAAACGAAACCCCAAGTAGCAGCCTACGCAGAGTTAATGTTCGGCCGCCGGTTGCGCATACGGTTAGCTTTCTGCGAAAAACGAAAACCAGCAAAAGACCCTCTGATGGCGGCGGCAGTGACAGACTGGTAGAATAATGCGACCTCATCGATATCCGTTTAACTATAGTTACCGAAAGGCAATCAGCCGTTGTTAAAACAGCACGGACAAATCGTTGAAGCAGAAACTGTGGATGGCAGAATTGTCAGACGCTATTTACACTATGTGTAATCGAGACCGTCGACCTCAGAAACAAGCAGTGAGTCGGAACTGCGAGCACTGGCGCTGATTGATTCACACGTGACAGGCCGTTATTCACCGCTCCAAACGCCTCTACGTCGCTGTGCTCACCAACGCCGGCCAGTGGGTAGTTTGCAGGCTGGATAGGTCAAAGCACAGAAAGAATGGGTAATACACTGTGCCAAACGCTTGGCGCGTGCGTGGGTAAGTATGTGCTTGGTGAGGCCATTGGCCTGTCTGCCACAGTTGTTGATTGGTGATTTGGGTTTGGCGTTCATGTGACTCGTGCTATCGTTTATTCAAATACTAGTCTTACTACGCGGTCGCCTTTCCTTATTTCGTCTCGGCGTAACAAGCGCCTTGTTCGCAATTTTGAATAGTGCTTACTCCCGGTTAATTAGATTTTGTTAAGATAGAGTGAAGACAGAGGTTGCGATGTGTTAACATTTCGATTGTTCTCTTCAGTTGCAAACACAATAAGAGCAGAAACACACAAATGATTATATACATGGAAAAATAAGCACCACCAACCAAAATGTCACAGTCAACACCATGGCAACCGAATTGATTGCCTCAAGAGTTTCTGTGCACATAGCACAGGTTGATAAGCCTTAATTAACAACGCCTCACTAATTATCGGGTTTTTGTTACATAATAACACTCTGAACGCTGTCTCGGGGTTCACGTGATGACGGGTTGTCATGAGGGGCTTGGTGATAGACGATACAGGGCTCCGATTGCTTCACAGATTCGTCCAATGTTGTTGCGTAATCACTTGTCCCAAGCACTTTGGCAAGTGTTCAGCTATCCTCTGAGCTAACTGACGGTTTGTTCTGCCTATGTAAATGTCACCGCAACCGCAGGTGAACTGACAAACAACGTGAGAGGCCGAACTAACCGACGAGATGCTCTGACGGTTATGAAGAACAAGTGCTCGCGTGGTATGCCTGAGTCGCAACTGGGCTGTGGTGTAGGTTCGCGTTACGGCGGACCGGAGCTTTCGTCCGATGTCATTTGCCATATGGTCCCCCTTGAACGGCAAGAACAAATAAACATTCTTTTTCTCAGCCGTCAACACCGGTGTTTTCACGTTGGGAGGTCTGCTGTGTACCTGAATAAACTTCTCTGGATATCCATTAGAAATTAAGGTCTTGCGTAGAAATTCTTCATCGGCTTGTAACGTTTCGGGGCTGCAAATACGCCTAGCCCGGTAGAAGAGAGTTCTCAATAATCCGCGTTGGTATGCGATCAGGGCGAAGCTTACAAAATGAAGGTACTGTTCAGTCCAAGTCGATTTGCGGTGAACAGTGCGCTGCAACGTACTTTCAGCCCGTCTCCTAATGAGTACATCCAAAAACACCAGGCAATTGTGTTGTTCCACTTCATGGGATACTGACAGATTAAGGTGAATCGAATTTAGGATGGTCAGCAGCCGGCTAAAATGTTCTCCGTTGGTGAAGACTAAAATGTTATCCACATATCGTCTGTACAATTTCGCTTCACCAATGCTGGCAGCAACTTGCCTTTCTATCAGGCCAAGGAAGATGTCGGCCAAAACTAGTCCCAGAGGGCTGCCCATAGCGACCCCGTCGATCGGTTTGTATGCGGTCCCCTCACATGCAAACCGGATGTTCTCGGTGCACAATAGAAGCATATCCTTTAAATACTCCACTGACAGGCCAACAGACATATTTTGACTCAGGATAAAATCACGTAAATTATCAACCGTCTCACGTAAAGGCACATTTGTGAATAAGGAGTCCACATCTATTGAGTACATAAGCTCTGCACTCAGTGACAAATGTTCCAGTGTCTCAGCCAGTTCAAAGGAGTCTTTCATGCAATACGTAGCGAGGACTTTACACACCGGATCTAATAGTTTAGCCAGCCACCGCGCGACATTGTGATAAGGTGAATTGTTCATGCACATAATCGGACGTAGCGGAAATCCTGCTTTGTGTAACTTGGGAGCGCCTCTCATTCTAGGTGTATGTGTCCCGGTCGGCTTTAAGCGCCTGTACTGCGATTCATTGACGTAACCATTTAGCAGGAGGATCTGGAGCTTCCTTGCCACCTGCTTCTCCACTAGGATGTTGTTTTCCGGTGTATTATCTAGCTGGAACATCCGCGTGTCTCCCAGAATGGACTCCATCTTCGAAATGTAGTCAAGCCTGTTCATTACTACAATGCCCGATCCTTTATCCGGCTGCAGGAACATTACGTGCTCCATTTGTTTCAACTACTTGATCGCCGCATAGTGTTCAGATTGAAGGCAGCACTTCTGACTTATCGGCGTACACAGGAACTGGTTCGTAATATCTACCAATTTCGCACGAAACCAACCCGCATCTTCCGTCGATCTTGGCGAGAGGTCACTGAGCTGTTCATTCAGATACTCAAAATGCGCCTGCGTGGTGACCTTGTCTATCGCTTTTGGCGGTAGTACAGGAGTTTGAGTCGCTTTGTTTCGCTTGCTGCTGTTTGACGTCCAGGTCACCATAACTTGCGAGTCTGTATATGTGCTGGATGTGTGCACGTCAACTCTGGTCAGCTCATCAACTCGTTCTCGTCTATAATAGGTTGCGAAGTGACAATGAATTGAGGTATACTGAAATGTACTGAAATCAAATCCTGTCTTCAGTGCTGACTCCTTCTGGATAGAGTTATCAATTAAGAATTACAAAGAAATGAATAGATGTTTTATTTCCGGCAGTGCGAGGTGCCTAGCCAGCGATGATCCGCACAAGACAGTCGGGTAATTTGCACTGATCATCCAAGCCAGATGTTACAAACAGTAATACCTATGCTGACTAATGAGGGATGCTGGCTTTGTTCATTCGTTATTTCTCCCTTAGCATGATCTTGAGTGCTGCTCATTTCCGTACTATTGCCTTTTGGGCGTTGTTTTTCTCTTGAATCCCCCGTTACTACAGACGGCGTTGCTTGTGCTTAGACAATGAAATTTCTATTTTTGCATTGAGCTCACCTTGAGCACCGTATTGATAGTATATGGTAGAAAATTTGTTCCTGCGCCTCCTAGAACCGTCACTTTGCGGATTTTCATAGTCAGTAATAGACCAGACTACCATACCACATAATACCTTCTAAGTTATATTTATTAATGTTTTCGTTTCAATAAATTTCGGACTGTAGCTGTTTATGAAAAACCCTGTACGATTTGCCTAAAACCTTTATTGATTTTACCTATAGTAGCGGCCTTCAGTAAAATAAAACCAAAGTGCACACAAATAGCCACAAAACAAGTCAAAATCCTCAGGTGAGGTGGAACAACATAACTTGTAAAGCATCAGACCTTATACCTTTCAAATCTGACAGTCTTAATTCGACTCAAGCTTCAGCAACTCGCACACATGGGTATTTTGCTTTTACGAAGTCGAGGTTTTAATGGGGTTGGCATCAGAACCAATGGATACCGTGTTCCGTTCAGCGATATCAGCACAAAACGGCACGGGACGCATTTGTCCTCCAATTAAAGCGATTAATTCGGACGGCAGGTATCACTATCTGAAATGGACTGACCATACCAGGGCCATGTTTGTGGTTACCTACAAAGGTGGCTGAACAGCTATGTCCGCAGCAAATCTTCGAGCTGCTGCAACACAGTTCTATCGGTTTAAAAAACCGTCTGTTTTGTCCACTGTAAGTCTGCCCATCTTTGTATTAGCCACACCACCAATAGCAGTCCCAAACGGCTACACGAAGTCGCTCCTGATATTTCCTACAATGCATGATATCTGCTACAGTTATCGGCTGCACATGAAATACTGAAGTTTCGGATTCGTTTTTCGTCATCATTCGTCAACGTTGACGAGGGAATGTTTTAGTGAGGCCTGTTCTTTCTTTTGGCATGGATCCGCTTGAAAACATGTACATACCTTTAACATGAATTTCGCTTGGTGGGTTACAAGTTGCGTGCTCTTGCTAAGCGCCTTCACTGCTGACTGAGTAGTGCCACTGTTGTGATGGAAAGGAGCTAGTTCAAACAACGAATAACAATGATCGTAGTTTATTCCCCGGCTTGTCATTTTCCACCGCCTCCTATGCCATAATAATACACCATAAACGCACTGTAAACGTCATTTCTCTGATTATCTTATGTATTTGCTTTTTAGTCACTTCCGAAGGTGATTTCTGACTCTACTGACCGCTTGCTGATTATACAGCCGCTTGTATACTGGTTGGCGAATAGCAGCGAGCTTCTACAGTTCCTGAAGCACGACATCAGCTTATGTTATCCATCTGACAGCAAAGGACAGCTCCTGGAATCTTCGCGGTACAGTCCACCCTTACACGCTTGCCGTCAGGCCCTTCACCTTCTTGCGGATGCCGTTGACCATTGTTTCTATGAACTACGCTCTTGTATGGCTATTCTGCTACAACCGCTACTGTACTGTCTTGTCCATCCCGGGGACGGGGACATGCAGGTAATGTGATAAAACGTTTGGTTAGAACATGCTATTCACAATGAGCACGAAACACCACAAGTTTTTTGTATGATAACCGGTAATTGGGCAAACAGATAACCGGGAACAATTCCCAACGATTACAATATGCTTCCAAGTGGAAAGCGACCATTTGCACAAGACAACAATATTATCACTACTAAACGTATTTGAACCTTGCAAAACGACTGGATTGAACTGCGATTTCCGCTTTGAAGTGGTTCGAACAGAGTCACCGCTTGCCAGAACCGCAATTTTCATGTGTGACCCGTCATCTTAACCGTCCGACCCCTTGATCCTGACACGAGTGATGAAGATGGTTGAAAGTTACGTAAATGTTACAGATTCGTTTCCAAATTCCTCCAGTGCGGTCGCAAAAGCGCTTTTCTTCTTAGTAGTATCGACCTGCCGTGTACGTCTTAAAAGGTGCTATACCTGTTCACTAGCAGAAATCTCACTACGTGCGCTGTCTGCCGAAACAATGTCCCATTTATGTCATGGACCTATTGTTTTAACAAGAGAAGCTTGTCCCTGTTAACCACGATAGAGCAAATTAAGACAACCGTAGCAGCTTATTACTGTTCCAACCACTTCTTACATCTACAAAGATGATGTTGAATTTTAGTCGACGACAGTTCGATCTTTACCTTCATCACATAGCCAGGGTTTAAGCAGTCAGAACCAGGGGCATACCCCCACTTAATACCGCGCTCTAGTGCTTGCGAAATGACTGGATTGCTTCTATTTGGTAAGCCTCGATAACTACCAGACACCAGTGTATCTCACTAAGAAAATGAGTAAGCGGAAATTGGAGTTGCCCTACATATTAATAGAAAATAACCATCGTTGCTACTGGGTGAAGTTCAACTAACCCGCAGTGCAAGAGGATTGTCTATTGCAAAGACCTGTAGGTTCACAATCTTGTGCATCAGAACTACGGCCGTTGCAACCCAAACAGTCCGAGGACATTTGCATCCGTCCTCATAGCTCAATGCCACCAGCGTTTCATCACATTCGTTTCAAATGATCATTGAAAGTCCTTTAGGACACCTCTGTTTAGTTTGCGTAGGCGACTGCGTAGGTGCATGTAGTGCATCATTAGTTAGATTCCTGAGCAAGTGTTGCTTGCGGAGAAACACCTTGCGGTGAAAACACTTTGTTCGTAGACATTACAGTGGCATGATGAAACAGCTGAATTATACCAAAATCCTCACTACTCATCAGTAATGTCTATTATTGTTTTTAACCCTGATATGTGTTGCGACTACATTACTCCAAATTTCAGGATGATCTCCGTCTTGATGACAAAGCACTTCTACCAGGCAGTTATCAGGACAGTCTACAGCAACCAACCAAAATTCAAGCGATAATGCAGCTGTTCACACTTCTGATGCATCAAATACGCAGAGCACGAGTTAACGCTTCACTGACGATACAACTGTTCGCCCAGCTGTTTCACATGGTGAACTCTCATATATTTAACCAAGCTCTGATAAAAAGCGAAGCCAAACCAAGACACGTCAGAGAAAGTGCAAACGTGTGGCTTTCGCGCCCTGGAGCAAGCCGCCTCCTACGCCGCCTTGATCGGATCAAGCACTGGGCTCAGCGACAAGGTTTGGAACGTGCAGCCGAGTGTCGTCTTCAAAAATGTTTCCAGGTATGTCGTGTTTTTTCACGAACCGGTATTTCTGAAACCCTTCTTTGTGAGGCTTCATAACGCTAATATTTGAGTTGCAGACAAGTGTAAGCAGTACTATCTGCACTTTACCTTCTAAAAGTAACCAAATATACTAACTGACCAGGGCTTGAACGTGCAGAAGTGATTGAGTACAATGGACCTGATTAACCTGACGGATGATATAAAGAATAGTATACTACTACACTCATAATTATTTATGTTCGCTTACGCGCTCGTACAAAAGGAGCATCAGTGATAATCGGGGATCACCCTCCTTTCGACAGTGACCCTTAAGCGCATCCTCATCGCATTTGAATTTGTTATTTAGCTGGAACCTTGATGTCTGCTGGTCTCAGTCTAAATTTTAATATTCAGTCGGCCTTCGTCTCAAGTTAGTTTTTTAAGTTTTCAGCTTCACTGGCCCCTACGCCGTTAACAATGATTATCTTTTCGGTTGTATGCGAGTTCACCTGTTATCCAGCCATTTTAGCCGGTAGTAATGGCAGATTATGCGCTGGTAGGCATGATATTCATCGATATTACTTTGGCATTACAGTGAACAATGAAAAATGAATTTCTACGGATTAAGAAGCAATGCTCTACATGTCCCGTTGGGTGGTTTTGAACGGTTATGGAAAAATAAAATAGCAGTGGGTTATTTACGTTTAAATGGGGGACTTGTCGTTTGTTTCACTATAGCCTTGCGATCCGTGTAGTTTCACAGTATACACATGTAGCAGCAAAGGGATCCAAAGTATATTCCAGGAGTGGGATGGAGATGTAGTACTAGGTAACAAAGTGGATAGTGGATAGTGGTGGTGCAGCAATGACCGATTCTGGAAGAGCATCCCATTGGTGACACTCGCGGACGGAAAGGAAATTCCTGCGGCACTCCAGGCGGCTGTACTGTTCTGCCAGTTGTAGTGAGTAACCTCTTAGTTTGGTATTACTGCTGAGTTGAAGTGAAGAGCGGCACACATGATGTGGATTGTGCAGAATTAAGTACACCATTATCAAGTCACCTCGTAAGCGGAGGTAACGTCCGCTGAATGCCCCCAATTGCTCCAGCCTTCTGGTATGGAAGATGGTGCATTCTAATGACGCGTTTTGATGCGCGAAGTTGGGGCTGCTCCAACGCACTAAGGTGGTGTTTTAGTCATGGGTGCCAGGCTTAAATTGCCTATTCGACATGAAGACGAACGCGCACACTAAGCATCTGCCGGAAAATAGAGCGATCTGTTTGTCCGAACGCCAGTCATTATAAGCCCAGATTTTGGTTACCAGTTTTAGAGGCTTTCGCGGATTGCCTGGAACAACCTAGATCATCCTGAACCAGTAAGTCAAAAACACGTCCCATCGCAGCTCGCTTCAGCACATGCGTTCCGAGCCTGTAACAGTGGTTACTTTGGTGTCGGATAGAGAGCACCTTGCATGTCCTCACATTGAATTGCAGGGAATTTTGTATGGACCACTGATGTGCTGTGTCTAGATCACTCTGAAGCAGTTGCTGGTCAGTATTCCTCTGAATCTTCCACCTAATCTTGACGTCGATAGCAAACAGCAGGAAGTTATATGTAATTGCCTGTATGTGGCCATTGATAAATACTAAAAACAATCGGGGACCTAACATCAAGCCTTGAAGCACACTACATTCAACTTGTATGGGGTCAGAGAAGGAGCTCGAAACTCTGACCACCAATGTCCGCTGAAGGAGATAGTTGGCGATCCAGCTTCGAAGAGGGTCACCGATCCGTAACGCTGTAGCTTGGAAAGGAGTATCCGATGACCTAGACGGTCGAATGCTTTCGAGAAATCCGGGTAGGTCACATCAACATCCTCCCCAGTGTCAGCCGACTGGGTCAACCTACTCCGTGCTAGTAGCAAATTCATTGTGCACGATCGACTTCGACGGAAGCTGTGCTGCTCAGAAATGATAATAGAGTTTTCCAAATAACCCACCAGTGAATCCGCTATGATGGATTCTATCACTTGGATAGTATAGGGAGAAAGGGGAAACTAGGCGGTGGTTTGAAGCCTCGGTTCTGCTTTCATCATTGTACATGGGTGTTATTATTCCAAACTTTCTCATGGCAGGAAGTTGATTCTGGTCTAAGCAGCGCTGGAAGAACTGAGCCAGTGGCTCTATCAGTTTAGTTGCTGATGCTCCCAGTGCCTCTGGGCGAATAGAATCGACACCCGGGGCTTTGTGTTTACGTAGAGTAGTCAGCTTCTGCAAGACAGCTTCGGTGGTAATGGAGATGTGTGTGAATCCCGGCGACGTGGTAATAAAGGCTGGAGAATTTCCTGATGGTAATAATCTCTAGAAGGTTGGGGCACATTGCATACGCAGCACGTTTTCTGCTTCTGTAGCCGTTCGAGTTGAGTCATTACCGGTCATGAGTGGCAGAACTCTTTGCCTCAGCTTCCGTAGACCATTGATTGTGCTTAGTGCAGGATGTTCTTGCCATGTTCTGCTGATGCGCGGCTTTGTCCTCTGAGAAGTTGAGTGCAGTGGTTTCATTGGGCTACATAGTTATCCCAACTTTCTGGAGTTGGGGGATAACCTATACTCTCGCCACGCGGCGTGGCGTACTGCCAGTAATTTCCGAGTTCCGCTCCCTACGTAATTAACTGTTTCAGACCGTTTGCAAACTTTGTCTCTGAAGCATCCGTAACCACCCGATTGAATTTGTTTACGAACCCAAGTCAGGCGATATCCGGGGAACGACTATATTGTGTCACTGACGAGGTAGGCTAACTGGTCGTAGTATATGATGGTCCGCATCTCGGTATCCCGCAGAGCAGATGAAATTGAAACTAATAACTGCATGATCACTGCTGCCTAACGGGCAGTCTAAAACCAACGCATCAATCAAACGCTCTTCGTAGGTAAGCGCATGATCAAGCACAGATGTCCTATTTGCTGTTCTGAACCGAGTGGACGAAGTGACATGACTATAAAGCGGAACAATGGTTACAAGATCTAGTAGATCCATTTTAAATTGTCTTCCGCTCGTGGCTGGGTTTCTAAACAACGCACATTGAAAGCACCCATGGTCATGTTGTGAGCGTAACTTCTTTTTATAGTTCGCCGTTGGGCAGTCGCAATTGGGTAGTCCGTTTCAGTTGTAGTTTTGGGCGACGGTACACCAAGGCCATAAGTTAAGTGTCTCTGCCTCGTGACTGCAGGCGGCACCAAAGCTAATCAGCGAATCAGCGAATCTGAATTCTCCATGACCTCGTAGTGTAAGTCGCTTCGGTGATACAGAATTACACCTTCTTTTATCAGTCTGTCGTTCCGAATAAGTGACATGTCAGGTAGCAAAATGTCAGCGTCCGTCATTTCAGTGTGTAACCACGTCACCGTGATGCTGATGATATTATGTTTCTGGAAAACTTGACGATCATCCATTTCGGCCAGCTTATTGAAGAGGCTCTGAGCATGTATGCATAAGCACGCAAGTTTATCGGTCTCCAGTAGACCACTGGAGTCAAGGAAGTCAGATATGTGGGAGTGCCGACCGATATGAGATCCGCCGTTATCCGTTTTTTTTGATAAGGTACTGCTACTGCTTCCATTCCATGCTTTGACCAAGGTGCGTCCCAGTCCTCATCTAGATCTACGATAGTAACGGGTAAAGTAGCATTCACCACCGGTACGTCTGCCTGTTCAGAGGATTCCGTAACTGAACGTTGCGAAGCATCTGTAGTCCTTCACCGAAGTTCCGATGGAAAGCTTTTGTGATTTTTGCGCCAACTATGTAACATCCGTCGTTGCTTGCTCAGCTTGAATTACTGGTTTTAGGATTCTCGCGCCACATCCTCCATAATTTGGTGAGAGTGGTAACCTTTTGAGCGATCGTGACACAACGTTATCCAAGGAAAGGCTTTTGCGGATGAATCGCCATTGTTTTAATCGTGATCTCTGGCCTCTTGACAACCGTGTGAAGGAAGGTCTGACACACAGAGGATGAAGATAGTGTTTTGGCGATCATATTTGCTATTTCTTTCTCCGGAGTTACTTTTCAACCGTCGCATGCTCCATGCAACATCAGGATAGATACATATACTATATGCTCCATGTAGCAGCTCGTTTGTGGAGAGCAGAAGGTGTTCCACATCAGTTGGGGATTCTAGTATTAATTTATTAAGTCTGAGCTCGCCAAAGTTACAGAGTTTGAGTGAGGAGTAATTCGTACTATGTTTGTGGGTTTGGCCTTTCTTTTCATCAGAAAGCACAATGACTCCCAGTGGTCTTCGAACAATTTGCCCTGCAATGTGATAGCTGCTGATTCCGGTACGTTCAAACACACAACAGTCATGGCACTAGTGTTAGATCCCTTATTCGTTGAGCTGTTAGGTTGTGCGCTGGTTTGTCCTGGCTTGCTAACATGCGATGATTGCTTATTGTTTTTCTCTCTATTCAAGTTAGCGATGTTTGTAACAGAAGAGACTTAAAGGTGGCCTCTTGGATGAAATTTGCAGCAACCGCTGCATATGTGACTGATGTCCTAGGGGACTTTGGCTCGACAATAGACCCCTGAGCTGCAGATATTGAGGGTTGCTGTTCGGTAGCATTGTCATTTTATTTACAGGTGTCATCAAGCCTGCTGGATTTGATTACTTACATGTTTCGGTTGGTGCCAGTTTTCAGTTGCCACGGACACTGTTTACCTCTCGGAGTTACGGTCAGTCTTCGCCTGGGGTTCTGCCAAGGATGGGGAAGACAACGGGGACCGAGACTTGGCAGGTCGTGGTTCAGGAGCGACAACTTGGTCGCTATTCTTTTATTTAAATGTCCCTGGGGTCAACTGTTTCAGGCTTCCTTCCAGTGAGATGATCTTAGTGTTCATCCGCTGCTCGGCTTCCGTTAATAACTGGTTGCATACCTGGACTAGGACAAGCTAACGCTTGACAAATGGGATGGTTGAACAGGTAGTACACAACCAAAAGAAATCTTAAGGGCTATTCATCTTCCGCACCTGCTGTTGGAATAAGCTAGCACACTTTCGATGGTACCACCTGGAACAATGCGAGTAAGCTAAGCCTAGTTTGACGAATCGGTTACGTTACCCTGATCCGCAGCCACCCTTAGCTTGGGGCCCTTTTGGATGTGAGCTTACTCCAGGTTTGCCATTTAGCCTGGTGTCGTTACCTGAGCCAGTGGAATGACTGATGACTTTTTCGACTTCTGTGGCGATATGCATTCGTCAATCGAACGTTGAAGTCGTTAAGCTCAAGTGAGCGGTCGATGGAGTTTATTCGGTTGGAAGTTGGTCCCAGGGGTATGCAGTCGCACCAGTTTACAAGGTCACAAACAAATCCAAGATGGCGGACTCAGACAGTGGTTGAAGCAAGCACTGAGATCTCCGAAACTTGCCAGGGAATATCTACCAAATTAGCACAGATCGGCAAATACACCAATAGAAGAACCTTGGTGCACAATAAGTTTGCTCCGCTGAGCAATATAATTCTGTCATGCCGTAGGAAGACGGTGAGAGGGTTTTATAGTTGCAGACGCCGCTTGATGTATCTTAATGGTGTTGATAAACAATGGGAGTGGTGTTAATTTGTATGCAATGACTGCATTGCAAATTATTTGCGAGTTGCATTGTAGTGCCTTGAATGCTTTTCGCGCGAACACCAACTACTGGTAAAAACAAATGAGCGTCCTTGCTTTGCCAAATGGCGGCTTGTTTTCTTTGTGAAACCCTACTGACACTACCATCAGTTGTCACGGTTAGACTAATTGTAGTTCCCTTGTAACTCTGTCCGTCTAAACACCTAACAGGTCTAGATCTGTTTCGCGCTGTCTGCAAGATTGACCAACCCACGATAACTCTTCATATCTGGGAGGGGGTTCTTTCAGCCCTAAAGGATTGTCAGATAGTCTCTCTCTCGGGGTAATCATGCAGGCTTGGGTATTGCTAACGCGCAGAATAAGAAATTCTTTATTGCATCTGGAGTCTAATTGTAAGGGTCGCATGGCGAAAGAGCCGGGAACAACACTATTATTCCAAAACCGTTTCACTTGTCCACAGAGGTGTTTATTATGTACAAAACATTATACTTCCCCAGTGACCATCCATTGGTCCAAATCACCTGATTGTATCATGACTGAGGAGACACATTGGTCAAATCTGCATACGTTGAAAATATCCTGTACACTCGCGGCTCATCTAGGAGAAAGTTATCATTGCGTAGTCAATCCAGCAGCCTCTTAGTATCAGTGATAATGTATCATCAGCGTGTTCTAGGTCACACCACCAAATTACATTGCCTCATTCTGGGCTTTCGGTCCATTTCCGCGAAGGCGGACCAGCCGCTTTCAGTAGTATAGCCGTAGAGTTCCAGAGACAGCCCTGAATACACATTTTCTTCCCGATAACGGTCATTTGTTTGATAGTTGAACACCAACTCAACGGTAGCTCCCATCCCGTTTGGTTTCCTGTCTTGCAACAACCATTTACACTGCTGCTTTGCTGCCGCACAATCGCAATTACCTACCGAACGAAGGATAATAAGTGGAAGAGATGGGGGCCTAGCGTAAAATCTTATTGCCCTAATCAAACATTCAGGGTCAAAGCAAGTCCACTTTGTCCACAACATATTGTCCCAAACAGCTCGCTATAGTGCAAAGATAAGGCGGCATCGGCAAGACAGCTTCCTTGTGGCGTTCAGTGCCCCGCATCGTAATCAGACTTTACTCCGTAGATAATGAAGCGCCAAATACACTTTAAACGGGCAGTCCGACTAGGCGACGACAGTTCACACGCCACTGGAGCCGACTCCAAGCCATGTACTGTAACGCCTCAAGCTAAGCACAAGGCGCATCCTATGGACTGCAGCTGGGAACGCGAGAATCGTCAACAGCACCCAGTTTGCTCGTCAGAGATTTCATTTCCCGCTAATCTTAACTTCTGCCCACCTCGAGCTTTGTACCATCCTTCATATGGTAGACAAAACAAGACCCTCCGCAGTAAGTGGTGATCGGGCATAAATGCTACTTTCCCAAGCAACTTATTCAGGGCTATCTGTTATTCTAAGGAATTAGCCTGCTTATCACTGCCTAGCACTTGCCTACAGACATCAACTTTGTGGACACGCTGCGGCCATCCGACACCAGCAATGCTCCTCAGGCAGCAAGGATCGGGGGTTGTGTTTTGCCACATCAGTAGCAACTAAAAACATTTGTTAGTTAGTGAAGGACGCGATCTGAACACGTGAGCTGCGTCTGAAAGTGAATCGTTCCGATAGTGTACTGATTGTTGCGTCACTTTCCCCTTTGTCTGACTAGCGCGTATGCTGTCTCTCAAGCAACTTTTTTTCATCTTCCGGAAGTAGACGTTCCCTGGATTTGTCTTCTCGGATTTCAACCAACGGACACCGGACAGCCATTGCTGTCCAGTGTCTGTTACTGTCCTTTCAAGCTTGGTGGGAGATTTCCATTACAACGGCATTTGTGAAGGGTCAGTTGTGTACGGCTACTGAGGTCATTAAAACCTTCCTCTTCCTTTCGTAACTGGGATAACTTCAGGTGTCCATGTTGCCGCAGCTCCCAGGGGCGATCGGGTGCGTTAAGATTATCCGACAAAATATCTATTCATACAGACGCGATGCAACGAAATACTTTTAACTTTCTGCACCGAGATGTTGTCTCGGGAGTTTAGCGGATTGATGCGATCATTTGTAGCTGAGAATAGTTTAAGGTACTCGCTGAGGATTCTCTAAGGCATGTTCAGAGTCTTAAGGTTGGCTTACAAGACACTTCCTGTCAAAACGGTACTGGTTGGGTAAGATATCTCATAAAAAATCATTACTAGTTTGATCTACATCTCCAATGTTACAGCATGGCCAGCGCAGAACCACAGCTCTCAGTAGAACGCGGTATTTGGCTCGTAGCATAAGACAGCAAAACACGTCAGTTTCGGAAGTACACAACTATAATCAACTACAACGCTTCGCATATCTTAAACCAATTTAGTAGTCGCTTAGCAGCACTGTTGGTAGGTTTCGTGCAGCGAGGTTAATAAGTGTACAAACATTTTAAGCAAGTCCTTTTGCTCCATGGGGATATCAAGGTCGCCGTGTGATATGAAACGGTGAACTCTCGGACTCGATTCCGTGCCCAAATCCCGTGCACCTAAGTGCAATGTTCCTAGTCTCGTCGACAAAGCTTACCAAATAGTATTAATAAGTAAAATAACTAATGCAAAATTGATACAATTTAACACAGTAATACCGGTTTGTTAACAGTTAGCAATTGGAGAACAAGTGAGGTAACACCACTGGCTACGTGTCCGCATTATGTCCGATAATGTGTGCAGCCTCGGATATGGATCATCCGGAGGATTCAGTCCAGGAAATTGAGAAGAACTAACCCTGTTTGACCTTTAAGCAAGTTTCTTCAAGATATAGCAAGTACATTCTGCTCAGACAGACTTCGTGTGCAACAGATTCTCCATAAACGAGTCGCCACTATGTGCGGAATGTTTACACGGTGAACACCACGTTGTGACCCAAATATACTATGACAAATTGTATGTTGATAGCAGTGGTCTTTTAAGCTTTGAATGGAAACGAACGCTTTCATGATCATTAGTTTTATCATGTTCTTTTCCACAGGCTTGCCAACTGGTGCTGGCGGATCGCTCCAACTTGGATGATTTTTATCAATTATGTATGAGCTTCTTGTCCTTGAATAGCATTCAACTGGAATGGTTGTTATCGCATCTGACCGACCCACCTCCGGTACCTGACGACTGGATCGACCTGATTGTCACCGGAGGCAGAGAAGTGAGTAAAAAGATGACAACTGTATCTCCAGGTACCGACGTAATTTGTGTTTGTTTTCCTATCGAATTATATGATAATTAAAATATCCTCCGTGCGCAGAGGCTTGCTTATAATGGCCAGTTGGAAAGCATTTTACGCAACCTCGGAGATTCCCTACTCAATTGTTGAAAATGCCTCAGGCCCGATGCAATAATAATGAACAAAATAACAATGATAAGAATGATAACTAATTTGTTTTCGATTTTCGCGAAACACATCTGACGAAGCATGACCAAGGAGTTGTAAGCACATGCAACACGTCAGACGCAATTCGGTCGAAAATTATGGACGATAATAAATCTAATGCAGAGATTTCGAGAGAAAAATGTGCCTACTCGCACAAGCATTGCGCAAAGAAATAAGCGGCAGTAAACGTATAAATGCCGTTTATGACGTTCTTGAATGCAGTTACAACTACTTCTTCGTTAATTCTCAAGCAATTGAGATCATCAGAATGAGTCAGGGTTTAATTCCTTGAAACCAGGAAATCGACCACAGGAGGAAGATCCATCATCGTCCGCCCATCGTAGCAGGAAACTTAGCAGTGCAGTAGCCATCAGCAAAGACGGATAAAAAGTGAGGAATCAGTGGATAACTGTAAAAAGTTAATGGAAGGTAAGTTTTGGATGGTATCGCCCATCGGATTTAAACTGAGGATGCATTCAAAGTAGGCTACACGATATCAAAGCGCAACCCCAAATGACCCAAAACCCCTTTTTGGCAGCCTTTACGAGCATTGCAATCCAACTGCTTCAACCGGTTGTGCAAGCAGAGAACACTGGTACGGTATAAACAGTAATATAGTGTAAGTAATAATGAATGTCAAGGAAAAACCGAGTGAACAGTCACTCTATTGAAATTGGTGGCGAACAGAAATTTCATAGAAAGCAACATCGAAATGACCATGTGTTGTAACGCCGCCTGCCTCTGCTCTCTGTCTTGTGCGCCATCTAACCCAACCGGGCGAAAACAGAAGACAAGATTTACCGGACCGGTATGAAGCAAAAATGAACAATGATTCTATGCGGGTTAAGAAGCGTTGCTTTACAAGTCCCGTTGGATAGTTAGTGGGGATATCAAAATAACAATAATGATAATAATGATAGTAAAACAGTTAGTACTTTAAATATGAAAATAGGGACTTATTGTTTGCTCCGCCGTAATTCTGCAATCCGCTTAGATTCACAGCACCCACAGTTAGCGTCAACTAATTCTATGATAAACTCAAGGTGTAGGATGGAGACGTAGTGCTAAGTGACAGTGTGAGTGTATGAATACATCATCCAACCGTCTTTTAAATACTGTTAGTGTCGGTGCAGAGACGACTGATTCTGAGAGAACATTCCACGGGTGACCGACACGAATGGAAAAGAAATTTCTGTGGTACTCAAGGCGGCTATACTGTACAGCGAGTTTCAGTGAGTGAGCCCTCAGGGTTGGTTGGTGCTGAGTCGGGTAGTCTAACACCAACGTATCATTCCTATGTTCCTCGTTGGTAAGCACAAGATCCAGCACAGATGGCCTGTTACCAGTTTTGAACCGAATGGGCACAGTGATGTGGTTGTAAAGAGGAACAGTAGTTACTAGATCTTGTAAATCGGTTTTGAATTATTCTCTGATCGTGGCAGGGGCTTCTAAACAATGTACGTTGAACTCACCCATGATAAGTATGTGAGTGTACTTTCGCTGTAAACTACATCTTAAAGCAGCCACTAGGTGGCAGTTGATTTCGGGTGTAGAGTTGGGAGGGGGCGGTATACCAAGACAATAAGGCAAGTATCTCTGCCTTTTAACTATAAGCGGCATCAAAGAGAGACGGGTAACTGCCAGTCTGAATCATCCACGGCTTCGCACTGTATGTCGCTTTGGTAATACAGAATTACCCTCCTCCTCTTGTGAGTCTACGGCTCCGGATCAGAGACATGCCCGGTAGTGAAATTTCAGCGTCCGTCCTTCTGGTGTGCGACCACGTCTCGGTGATACCAATGATATCATATGACCCGAAAGCTTGGCAAGCTTTCAGTTAGGCCAGTTTATCAAAAAGACCGGGAGCGTTCGTATACAAGCAGGCCAGTTGGTCTGTAGAAGCCCACAGAGGGCTAAAGGGGTCAAGTGTGGGAGAATGCCGACCGATGAGAGGTCGGCAGTTACTTTTTTGATGGAATAATGATACCTCGTCCGGAAGTTGATTCGGCCAAGGTGCGTCCCAATCTTCGTTTAGATCTACGTCAGAGTAACACAAAGCAGCAGTCAAGTGAAATTTCTGTATCATTGTCGGTAAGCTTGCTGGGTCAGGTGCTTTAATATTTCAACTGTGCAAAGCTTCTGCAACCTTTAACCGAAGTTCAGAAGAAAGACTTTTCCGATTTCTCTGCAATCGATCCAAAAAGTCCGTTGCTTGTTGCTCTGACGGAACCACAACTTTTAGAATTCTAGAACCGCATCATCTATAATTTGGTGACAGAAGTATCCTAGTGAACGATAACGCCACAATATTTTGCAAAATGTGTTTCACAAATGAACCGCCACTGTTCTAAATCGGGCTTTCCGGTCTCTTGAACATCGTTAGAAAGGTGTTCTGATACGTCGTGTATGAAGATCGTGTTTAGGCGGTCTTGCTTGCTGTGTTCCTCTTCGGTGTTTCTTTTTGATTGTCGCGCGCTCCGAGAGACATCAGGATAGATGCGTATCCCACATGATCCGTGTTTTAGTGCGCTTGCGGAGAGCAAGACCTTTCTAAGTCGGTGTATTATTCTAGTGTTACTCGAATAAGTCTGGGTTCTCCATAGTGTGGCGAGTTCTGATGACGAGTAATCGATAGTAAGTTTATGGGCTTGGCTTTGACATTTATCAGCAGGCATAATGAGTTTCATTGGCCTTGATTGTTCGATAACTTATCCCGCAATGTGATGGCGGTAGATCCAGGGACATTTGAGCATACAACAGTCCGGGCACTATTGTTGGACCCCATTTTTGTTGAGGTACAAAGCAGGGTACTCGTTTGTCCTGACCTGCTGACAAGTGTTGATTGTTTACTGTTTGTCCCTCTATTCGCATTAACGGTGTTTACAACAGAAGATGTCGCCGTGGCGGCCTCGCGGCGGAGTGAAGCTGAGTAAGCGGATTGACTTTGACCGATTTTCATGAGTATACTATCTAAATTTACATAAAAGGATTGTCGATAACAAGAGTCTCTGGTTTGCAGCACTCAAAGGTTGTAAATGACCTGAGCTGACGAATACAGAGCAGCCTTTAGTCCACTATCGACTACTGATTGTAAGCTGCCCAAACTTCTTTCTGAACTTTTAGCCTTCACGGATCTCGGTGGCTGTAAACAATAGTTCCATAAAGATCCCAATTCGCTGATGGGTAGTTATTAGTTTAACAATTTAGAATAGTTTCCCTCCAGGTTCGCATAGTTTCCTAGCTCCTATAATGGCATAAGTTGAGGGAAACTATTAACCTACTAGCAGATAATCTGTGGAAAAGGGTTTACTTAACACTTACCAACCCCAATCATCTCAATGGAACGTGCTTTCGCTCACTGGGTTTTCGGACTGAAATTCTGCACACAGAAAATCCGATTTTGCCTTGAATGGTACTGACCGATCATCGAGTTGGGTGAAGTGGACAGTTATCCAGGTTAGTTTTGTCCATGACCTCACCGACAGGGAGTACTGTTCCGCTCTTAACCTCCCGAATAGAGGCAAACTGATTGTGAGTGCTGTTGCGCGATAACTTAAACGCCTTCCATGGATCGACCTGGCTGATCTCTACCTCCATTCCACCGTCGACAGGTCACACATTTTCTCCGGATTACATCACCACCTGCCTACATAAAATGTTGTAAAAGTTTTACTACCAACTCGCTTCACATACAGCTACTCTCAACCATAAAGATAAAGTTGGTCTTGACGTCGATGCTGGATCCATGTGATGGTATCGCTCATTTATCCGTTTTTCAGGTGAATGATCGAGCGATTCTTGATGAGATGGAACACTGCAGTCAAACAAACCAGCACGAGCTTTCTGTTCCTGAACTGCAACTATCTGAACCGAGAGAGCTACCGTTGCCTCTACTGCTGCCACCAGACGGATACGCCTCAGACGCCATTTTGACCGGAACACCAGCCGGGTTAACAGAATTTCTGCGCCCTCTGGTCTCTAAGGGTTTGATCCATGTCCAAAGGAACCCAATTGCCACTGGCTCGAAGGACTCAAGGCCGTGGATAGGTTACCTAAAGCTCAGTAAGGTGAGTGATTGTTATTCATGCTAATCGTCGCTACACCTTACAAACATCATTCCAAATTGTTCTGTAGCAGACCGAGTAATCAGCAAATTGGAGGTGGATTTCTAATAGCTGAATTAAAAAAACTACCTAAGAGGCTCAATTTAGTGTAAGTGGATTTCGCAGATTGCCTACCAGCATCCGATCCCAGAGTTCTTCGGTAACGGGCCATTAGGTATAAAGAAGTCAGGAGGTTTACATGCTCCTTAGCAATTTATACAGTCAATAAGGTCTTGTGGAGTAAACCGGTCATATAAGATTAACAGGAGGTCTATCAATTGGTCTAACGCTTCTTCAGAGTTTCTAAAGACATGAGTTTCCGATTTGCTGGTTCGCACCATACCACTCACTCCGGGTGCACTATACCGCGTCTGTTGACCGCGGTGTGACGCGCGGCCGATTGTACACTCACAGAGGACCAAGTGCATCGCTGAACTCCACCCGGGATCAACGATGCTCCCACAATAGAACATCCATGTGATTCTCTCATTGTTCCTGTCCCATTTGCACTTGCACTTGAAGTTGCGCCCAGTAACAACCTGTTTCATCAGCAATCGATCTGACCAAAGTTCACTTCAATGAGAATCGCGGTCCAAGTTGAGAATGCGCGTCGCGATCCATTTACACGTGCACTTCAAAATGATCCTCAAGTCAGTCATTAGTCGTTGTGCCAAGCGTTGCCCGTTTTCACCCGGTAGCTTGTGTGTAGAGGCCCCGAATGACATCCCTTTGGCCATGAATTCGAGGCCTGTTATCTCTACCTGATGCGAATAAATAAGGTTGAAATGCGTCGTGAAGTGCAGCGTTTTCGAGCGGACAACACTCAATAACTACGCGTTTCATCAGTTAAGATCTCAGTGATCCATTTGACCAAGGTTCACTTCAATGGGAATTTCAGTCCACGTTGAAACTGCAAGTCGCAATACGTTCATACAATGTGGACTTCAAAATGTCCCCGCAACTTCCGTTCTTGTTTAGGAAATGAATTCAAGTATCATATTGTGTTCATCGTCCGACCGAAGCCCTGATACCTGCAGGTGGTAGCTCCAGTTCAGATTGGTCAAAAGTCGGCAGTGTCCATTTCTGTAGCATTTGCTTAGTATCTCTTACTTGGCTTCCATTTTCAGTTTGACCTGGATAGCAAGAGCAACAGGACGGGCCACAACGAGAGTGACCGGCATCCAAATGGTTCTGACACTGAGGAAAGCGATCTGGAAACCTCAGATTCCCAATCCGAACACGACAAACGCGTAAGCAAACCAAACCAACGTTTTCGTCCACGTAACCGTCAAGAAGTGGTTGGTTTACGGCACACTTCTCTACCGAACCTCTCCGTAGCAGAGTTCGATGCGCTTGCGAAGGAGGCAAAGGTTCCGGTAGACTCGATTACGCGGTTTTATCTCCGAAAATATAACAATAGCCTTGGGCTAAGCATTGTTGCTGCAAAGGTGAGTTCGTTTTAAAACCAACTTCAAGCTCTTAGCTTGCATCTCAACCTAACATTCACATATATCAATGTTCGACCGATTGCTTCGTAAAAGAATAAGAAAACACGCGCCGAAGACGCTAAATAACAATAACCACAATAAAGTTCATGGATCATTTTTGTCGCTGGCGACGGGATTAGAGCAAACACATTAAAGCCAAATGTTTGACCACTTAACTGTCATCACTTTCCTTGTTTATTCTAAGGGGTAAAAAGAGAAATGGTTTGCGACTTTCTAGGAATGCATTTTAGTATTATCCTTGTTCTTTAATGCTTAGCCGATGGTCAGTCGCCTATTACGGATAATTAGTCAAATGCTGAATTATTCTACTGGTTGATCGGTTGAAAATATCAAAAAGAAGACTGGGAAACATCAGCCGGTTAAAACTGGGTCCTACGGATTCAGTCACCTAGTTTTGATACAAACGGCACAGTTGTCGCCTTTGGTTCTTCTAACAAAGCGGGCTTTTACGAATTTTCTTCGGGTTATTTGCGTGTGTGATGTATGAAAACTAGCATATCTCTGACACTCTTTTTGAACACGGGGGTGACAGAATCCGGGTGGGAAATCCGGTGATGGCGAACACGAAACAAAGAGCAATTCTAACACTAATGCAAGCAGCTCTGCTGCTCTGTTAGTTCTCTACGGTGGCTGCTGTGCTTACCACTATATGTGAGCCTCAGTAGGTGGTGACCCGCGTCCTTAGCGTAGCTAAAGTTCTAGTAAACGATACCAAGGTTAAAACGCGGCTATTGCGCACCGAAATTCACTCTCTTTTGGTTTCCGTATGTAAAAGCAAGTATTTCAAATCGGCATTGTGGAATCTACAAATTGGCGTGATCTGGTTTCCGCTATAGCTTGAATAACATATAGCGCTGGATGTCATATCCATGCACCCAGCAGCTACAGAAAGACCAAGCAATCGAAACCCCTCAACTGTCTCGGTAAAAGACCTACGCATTGAACACCACATTGGGTGTTGTTGTTGAATGTCTCGAGTAAATCAGGCCCTCCCCAATCAGCACACCGACTTTACTTTACGAGGGTTGTTAACTACCGGTCTCTCGGTTTTTGACGGCAAACCACTTGTTGTCGTAAAGTGTTCTGTGTTTTCTAGTTTAAAAAGGAAAAGGTTTCGGAGTCGATATTCATAAAGAATTTGATCACTGTCCGCTTCAAACAAGATAAAAACATCTACCTTGCTGTTCACTCACGAAATCTTTACATCCTCTGCACAACATAAACGACTAAGAATGATTAGGCATGCCAGCTTGGTGGAAAGCATTAGGTGCTGGTACCACCCCCATATCGAGCAATAGGCTGTATCACATGCAATTTAAAGAAGATCTGGAATGCATCCCGTATCTTTATCTCCAATTACACATAAGGAATAGAGTCACACATCTATGCTAATGCTTAACAACGAGAATACGATGTTTTAATTACTCGAATAACTGCTGTAAATCGAGACAAACTACGTTAACTACTCCACAGGCATCAGTTGTATGGGTTCAACTGGCTTCTGTCAGCAGTGCTTTAATGGTGCATGACGGATTCCGCCAGAAAGCATGTTGTTCTTGATCACTGTACTTAAGTCCACCCAGGTTGGACATTAACAAGCCAGAGACAAGAGCGTCCATGAGGTTTGGAAGCACTGGTATACGTCACCGGAACGTAACCGGCTGGATTGTGACGAGTACCTCCTTTGTGAATCGAGATTATTACCCCCATGTTTCGGCGTGACTTTAACGGGCCTCTAAGCAAGACAACACTGGCCGTAAGTGATACATCAGTTGGCGCAATGCTGCCTAAAATTACATTGTCAGCGTACTTACATTCAATAAATTTGGGAGGAACTGGAAGCATTTCGATGTACAAAGAAGTTAAAAGAGGCGAGAGTGTTGCACCCTCGTAAGACGTCCCAATCGTCACTAAGAGTGGGTTTATTTACCGTTTAGATTGGGGATATGAGGGTGGTTTATGAAGCAGTTGCTCATCAGATTGCACACCGCTGGTTGCACACCATTCGCAGACAGCTACTTAAGCAAGATTGCTCTGTCGACACACAAAAGCGTTGGTATAATCAAGAAAGAGGAGCCGCACATTCTCGCATTTCGCATCCAATAAAGATGCTATGGAGTGTACAAAGTATGGTACGGCCTCCAACATCGAACATCGCTGTCTGTACGCAAAACTGAGATAAGTCCACGGCCGGAGTGGTTGTTGAGATCCAAGGCACAAGTAGTCGCTCGAAGACTCAACATGGCGGACGTATAGTCGATCGAACGGGATTTCGTGTCTCCCTTCTTTGGGACGGGTGTTATCCTCCTGACAGGCCTCCAAATATCGGGAATAATTCCACCGTCTAGGCACCGATTACAAAAGATCCGCAAGGGCATGGTTAGGGTATCGGCACACTCTTTCAAGACAACTGGTGAAAAAGCATCGGGCCCACTAGCCATCCTTGAGTTCAAATTGCTCAGTTCATGGTGGAATTCAGCGTGTTGAAACGTAATTTTTGGACCAGAGCCAGAGCACGAAGACAAAGACAATGAAAGCGGAGCGTGCTTTATGTAGAGAAGAATGGAACTCAGAATTGCCTTACTCTACATCCACAGATTCAAGCTGCTTCCTGCTTTAAACGTCTCCACAAGTCTCGGAACTAGTGGCTGTATAAAAAGGCTTCGATGTATAAATTATTCAGTCGCGAACTTTCAGTTTTTGTTGCTAAAACATTGTTTGACAAGGGCAGTCCTTTTACATTTATAGTCCCGTTCTTTTTTCCTTCTTATTTGTTTATGTGCTGGTGTGGAGAATCTGTAGGTAGTTTTTACCGGGCAGCACAGATGGAAGTAAAAGTTGTCAGTAAAATGATCACGCTGAACAGACAAATCATCGTTGTTGAAACCCGTAAAATCAGTAGGAGTTAGCGGATCCTGGAGTTGCGCAATACCGGATGCTGAAAAATCTCGTCGCCTCACAGTTTTGAAGGGCTTACAAGCTAATTAACCGGAGCGATTCTTGCCATAAACAACGGGGCAAAGCATTATGATACTATGATCGGAGTTACAGTATGGGGCGTCATTTTACACAGAAAACAGACAAGCATGGTTTTTGAGAACGAAATGTGCTTGCGCTTCTAGTCAGGTCAGAAGGGTCACTATATTGGTCAAATCAAGTGTCTGGATGAATCCGGTCTCACTATTACTGAGGTCCAAGGCAATGACACATACTGAGCGGTCAAGTTTCGGCAATAACGCCGAAGATAAAGATTATCCGCAAAATTTTCAACTCTGATGCTGGTGTGTCGTGGACGTGTATACATTCCCAATGATAACAGAAATAAAACCACGCAAAAACTTTGGCTTACGTTAAATCAAATGGCAGCTGACTGTGATTGTTGAGTAGGGGGAAAATATGGCTGACGAGTTACACCAGCGTACATGGACGTAGGTGATCGCACACGCTACACAATTTTGAAACATTCCGGGGCGGTCGGATCTGTTGGGAAGATAACCAGCAACTTGAGTAACATAGTATTCTTCATCAGAAGGTAACCAGCTTTCTTGAAACATCAAATTGACTGCATTCGAATATTCTTTCCGCTGTATAATAACAGTAAGATCCGCCAGTTTTCCTGGCAGTGTTCGAATATTGCTGGTGTACATCAGTGGAATTGTATCTTGTCATCTAAATGACATTTAAGACAGACTTGCAAACCAGCACGGTGTTTCTCAATTTACCAGCATATTTCCTCATAACCTGTTTAAAAGTATTTCTGACTTTGTAAGCATAATGAAAGATACGCGGATGTAGAGCAGTGTCGCAGAGAGATTTCAAAATGTTAAAGGAATAGCACAACATCGGTCCAGACATAGTCTAGATAAACAAAATGATAGAAATACCTTATGAATTAGATAAATCCGCAGTAGCTAATGCAAAAAATGATTTCGCAGTGAGAAAAGCAACGGCCAATTTGAAGGTCTCACCAAACCACAACTAGTAACAGTATTATCTCCAGTTCTCACTCTACTATTGATGTAGATCTTTCGATTTCTGGCCTCCCAATCCAGACGCATAATGCAAAGGTGGTGATGAGTCTTAGTGGTTTCAGGACACTCTAGGGTGGCATTTCGGTCGAAGTAGCGCCAAAGTCCTGCCGATACTTCTGCGACAATGAATCGTGATTGGTATAACATAGGGACTGTGGGACCGATGCCTGTGACCATCACGCAATGCCACCACTAATTGCTTACACCTACCGAACTGAAGCCGTACTGACAACTGGGTGCGCGATGTAGAATGGAGGCACTGCTGCTACGTGCTGCTAACGCCTGCAGTTTCCGCAAGGTGCACAAAATGGTTGTTCCTGGTAGACAAATCTATGGCACTCTTCACTGCATCTAGTCAAAGGAAGCCAGATATCTTTTGCGCCATTATTCGTTAGTGCTACACAGTTTATTATTTGTAGACCATCGATATCACCTGCGAATCTGGGTGGCCAACTTACGTAGACATGTGTTGACTTTCTCCGCCGTTGAATCATCGTCCACATGCATGTTCCAGGGGAAGCAGCACGCGTTAGATCCATGATTGACGCAATGAGATGAGCAGCGGAAGCCAAGCTTGATAGCGCATTGCATAGGCTTTTCTCTATCTTAGCTCCAGGACAGACACGATTGAAATTAATCCTCGGAAAATAAAGATTGGAGCAAAGAACGCCCTTAACCTTTTTCTTATATAGAAGGATTCAACTCTGTCGACATGCACAGGGTCGGTATAAACACTTTTCGTCTGGCATATTTTTACTTTCATTCTTTTCACTTGTTCAAGGCCGAAGGACAGAGACATTACGGGATTTACGTGAAGGATATCGTCCGTGGTGGTGCGGCGGACAGAGATGGCCGGTTGGACACCGGAGATCAGATTCTGGCCATTGGCTCTTCCAATCTCATCGGATGCGCTCAATCGGACGCCGTTGCGACACTTGCCAAGCAGAGTCAGTCGGACGAGGGGGTTCAGCTAACAGTGGCCCAAGGCGCAGCAAAATATCACCACATCCTGGAACTCATTCGACCAGCGGCCCCCTCAAAGGCGCGTTCTCAACGAGCAGGCCACGTGCAGGTTAGTTGAATGGATGAGCGCACAGTTGGCGAGAGTATTGTTACTTTAATCTGTGCCGAGACCGCAGAAGAATAGACTGCCTTGATATAGGTTTCACCAAGTTGTATTTTGAGTATGAGGGATTAGAGTGAACAGTCCCTGTGAACAAACAGCTCCTAGTTCGGTGGTCCTCGCATACCTACATGTCAAAGTTGAGTAACCATTATGGATCAAAATATTCTGAGTCCCAGATTTGAAAATTGAGTATCCTTCCAGGTTACCTTATGCATTTTTACTGGTGATGGCGTGGTCCGGTTGGATTCGTTAACGGCTTTGAAAGCTGAGTACGGTTTGGTAATGGGCAATACTATTGCTGGTGTCTTCTGCCATATCACACCTATTGGAATATTGTCTCCCTTAATGGGGCTCAGGCTCACAAGCTATGTTGCACCTCGAAGAAGGAGATAAATTTAACTGACAAAACTACACTTCAAAATCTCCGCTCTCCAACCTCCTCCGCCCAAGAACGAAATATAACGAGGGGACCCACTTTGTACCTACAATCACATAAGTAGTAGATTGCAGCGAGAAGGGGAAAGCTAGTGCGTGTATGTATTTCGTATGGAGATTTCATTGTTGTTAGTAGCAGTCGGTATGCGTAGGGGTGCTCACAGCAGGTGTGACCAACCAAGATTGAGGGTTAAGACGGATGACATAAGTATGGTCCGTAAGTCAATGTTAACATGAGTCCAACAACTGAATATTTTCAGTGGTACACAGCTGACTTCATCCTACAAATCTAGCTTGTCTCTGTAGAATGAAGCCAGTTATGTGCGTTTAAAAAAGTAGCCATCTTTCTCAAAGTGTTATTAACTCATGGACGTAGCCAGTTTCATTCAATTCTATCATTATATCATTGTGCACATTTGCTAGCGGTGGGAAACACCTCAACTATTGGGCCACAATACACGCTATTTGTGACGCAAACTTATTTGATTGCCCAACTGTCGTGTATATGTGTTCCTCCCGGTTATGGTTAACGATACTGATGAGACCATGCGAGATGGATACATAAACCATATTTTGTCATCTTGCCGTACTTTTCAACCAACCTTAGGGAACTAACCGTCTGAAACACGAAGAAGCTGGAGAGGTTAGTGGTACTGACACATTCTAACAGGCGTGCAATTCTACCGTTGCCTTCACCTTCTGGCACATTAGTACTGATTCCACATGGTAATGGCAATTAAAATCGCCATCCATAGAATGCTCTTCCGCGAGTCACACTTTCTCGCCTCGTGAGCTAACTTCATGTCGGTCTCCACGATCGAATTAGGACGGGTCCAATCCCATGCAATCCTGACACCCAACCATTTTTGAAGCCAAGAGGAACTTCATTTCGAAGTGAATCATAGTCTTAATTATAACGTCGTGTCACAATTCACACGGATGTTTCAAAATGACCTCTCGAAGCAGCCATTTACGGTTATGGCAAGCGTATTCCGCCAAGTCTTGCCGGCCAAAGGCTATAGGTTGACATCCCAATGTGTCCCAATTTCGCTATATCTACCTGACTACTGCAAACAAATACGAAACCGAAAGCATACTGCCGTACTGTAAATGAACAACATTAACTACTTATCCATTGTAGTAGTCTTACTAATTAATACATGAATTTACGGGAACGATTGTTGAAATTTTGTATTTATGACTTGCGATGAAGCCCAGGCGATCAGTGGAGAATGAATGTAACCAAACCTAGAAGAGTAAAAGTATCTCGTTGAACAGCACCACATCGGCTTTAGACCCAGTGAAAACAAAATGAAGAAGGTTGTAACTGATTCTGCCATTTTATCACTCATTTCATCAGCCATTGACAAGAAAATACCATTTAAGTTATTCTTAAGACAGCGGCCGGAGTGTGGCACTGGTAGGTTTAGTCGCAATAGACTCTTCTGAACAACTACTCAAAGTTGCTTATAGGTATAAATGATATTCTGTCGAAGAGCGATAATCCTGTATACAGCAATGTCCCACGATCAAATCATGTATGGAAAGTACCTAGTTAGGTTGGCATGCCAGATTGAGAAAACATCTAGTGTAAACTCCTTTACGCATTCCAAGGGTTTACACAATTTCCTGCCAACCCCCAGTGCTATCATCAACTTGATATCAAAGGAACCACTTGAATCCACCTTCCGCTCATTTGTTACCCAACGCAATAAACCCAACCTAGGTGTAACCCGTCTCTAAGTAATACATGCAGTTTACTTTCCACAACAAAGTACAAGTTGAATTTGGTCAGGTAGTTTTTGCGCCTCTAGAATAGACCGCCGTTTCACCCTAAATGAGTTTTTCAAAAATGAGTCACCTTCCACGTGTGAGCATATAATCTGCGAATGGTGGTTATGGCCATAAGCCGCGGGGAACTTTCTTGGAGGACAAGGAACATGTATACGACTAAGTCGATTTACACATAGTTCACACATTGCTTTCGCGACTCCGGAAGTCCCATCGGTTACGCGAGTGCTGTTTGGTCATAAAGTGGTCTGGTGCATAGAGATTAGCAAAGCATTAGTACACTCAGGCTGTTTGTGTTTCACCTTCTCATCACTCCGTTGTCAGCACTGTTCGCGGATTCCAGAGAGCAACTCGGCATACTGCTTGAGTAGGTGGCAGTGAAACACCACTTACCCCTGTATAAACGAACTTTTAGGTAATTACAAATTTAGTAGCTACTGTAACTCAATTGGTGGTTGATGTCTGTGATGCTTCAGCCAACCCGTCGGTCTTTCGCTTTCCAAATGTGTGGGTACCTTGAGCAACAAAAATGCAGAGAGGATAAAAAAGGAGATAAATTCATGTAGAAAAAGCGACGTATGAACTCAGACACCGGATTGGTCAAGATATAGCGTCGAACCCTCTGGAAGCTGATCTGTAACATGGGTAACAAAAAAAGAAATGCAAACGGATGTTCACACTAGGTTTATTGAGACGCAAAATTATATCTTCAGTGTTATGCCACACGTAAAACCTTTAGTACCGAAACTCACACCGGGTAGTCCGCAATTTTTCGCGTGGTTAACGTGGCTTGCGAGCTGAGTTGGAGGTGCGTAATTGTCCTGATAGAAGGAAAGCTGTCCTAAATTTAATTTTTCACGAGAGCAGCGGGTCCGTGTTATCGGGTACGTCATCTACGCATTCAAGACCAGGGTGGTGCGGTTTTGGGCCGTTGAAACAGACTAATACAGTCGTGGGAGCCAAGCAGTCTGGTTTGGCGTCCGAGTAAGCACACGTAGCAAAGTAGTCCTCTGATCGGACATGCTTTAACCCCGAGAGTTGCTTGTTTTATGTAATCTTGGTTCCATATTGTGGTGGGCCAAAACAGGTTCTACTGCGCCCAGAATCAGTAGTATAGAAGTACCAGGAAAACCAGACTATAGTGGAGTATCAAAAGAAGAACGCTTGGAAGCCTCATGTATATGTATAGCTAAGTTGAAGACAGAAGTAGAGTGTGCCAAGCCGCATTCAAGAAAAAGTGCGCAGATTAGTAGAACTCTATGATGTATGTTTGCCGATATTTTCTGCAACGAACAACTCGACTGGCAGCATTAGGCCTTTGTTTACTTAGGTTCTTCCAAATGTAACGCACACGCTTTAGCATAGAAGCATGACAGTATTCCGGACCGCCCATAATTCAATTTGAAACTTGTGCACTCCAACACCACTTGCTAATCGAGCATACATGTTCGGAGAAACAGTCGCAGTTGAAGCCATTCGCTTAACTGCTTCCTGTTTGCTTTTCATGCATGTCATACGCCACTATAAGCCGTCGAGTATTGCGCACGTTTGGAACCGCCGTAAAGACCATGTTTTAGAGTAATAGAAATGTAAACACGGTTTTCCCGTTACGTGACAAAGGATTCCAGCCAAAAATTTAGCGGTGGAGAACAAGGAGCTGGATCATGTGGGCAGAATAGATCCTGGTGTTGTTTCTCGTTGACTTATGAAATGAAAGGTTTCAAGAAGCTCCCAGTTAGAAACCACATTGTGTCAGTTCCCCAAAGAATTTTCTTGGTAGGTGCACTGTCAGTTATGTAGCTCTGATGAAGCTCAGCTGCCGAAACTTAGTTGCTGACTGGATAACGAAATGATCTGAAATGGGAGAAAACAATATGAAGTGACGAATTTCTACCTATACCATTCAACTCCCCTATTACTCCTCTGTAAAGACGCATTATTGGTAAGGCAACAATGCTTACATAAACAGTCTGTTTCGGAACGTGATGCATTTGAGCCACGTTGTTGTCCTGCGTGTATCATTGCAAGTCTTTTAACGAACTGATCATCCAAAAGACAAACATCGCCAACCTTGAAGGGATTAAAAACGCCTGAGGGCGTCTTGGTCGAAAACAAGTTGAAACAGCAAGTTGAAGCAGGACAAATGGCTGGTAAGAATATGCGACAAGTAGCTATTAAATGTTGCTCTCTACCCCTAAACCAATCAGTCGCGGCGGGCAACGCTGACCACAACGTGTAATGACTCAGTGTAGATGTCATCTTGAAGCACTCGTTGTATGAATGTATTTGCAAATGTCTACGAATAGACATAATGCCATCAGAAACCATGGGATTCGAACGAAGGTACAGAAATAGGAAAAGAAAACACAACACAACAATGTCCATGGTTTCGTCAGATGGCGAGATACTACCCGGTTGTCCAAGCCGAAGTAGCGTTGTATGAATGGATTGAGACCGTGATTTAAGTTGAACTAAAGTCCATTTACTTCGGTCACTGTTTCACGCACCGTTCCAGTGATCGATTTGACTTATCTTCATCAAAAATAGAATTGCTTGCCCGGTTTGAGACAGGGTGTCGCAATCCATTCACACAATGGGGGTTTCAGAACGACCCCTATAACAATGTGAGACACATATCCTTTGCGAGCGCTGAGACACTGTGGATAATTTAGTGCAACGCCATACTGAAGCAGAAGTGGTATAAAGAAGGTGCAATAAGCCCATAAACACCAAACTTAGAGCGGGAAACTGGGATCCGTGTACAGTTTGCATAGAAATAATCTGGAGGCCACACGTATAGGGATGTATTCAAGAGTGGGTTTTGGCTGTAAAATCTGACGGTTCATCTGTTTCCGAATCCGCGCGATGACCCGAGATCCATCAGAAAGAAGTAGGTGAGTCAGTGTGATGACAGACATGACAGCGCTTCTCAACTACTCACCAGGAAGTATCTGAAACACAAAACCTGTTCCACAATATTTCCCTGTGAACATGGGAGACTCTAACCAGCTTCGTTCTGTCGGCGCAGTCGTCGAACGAGGTCACCGGTGTGTTCACACTGCGGACATAGGAAATCTAAGCCTAGATTCCGCCTACATTAAACAGACAAAGCCGCAGTTTGCCTATAAACTATTCTGTATGAGGTCTACACGATGCGTGGGTTACCACTCATCATTGTAAAGCACATTGGATGATACGAAATACGGTCCACACTGACGCACATTGATTGCCATGCAGCTCACGATTTCTGTCTATGATCATTATGGATACCTTGCACACGGAGTTTGTGCGAGTATCCTCTACGTTGCACTCACTCACTGATTGTGAGACCAATTACACCTTCGATCTGCCCGAACAATGGTAGGAGAAATTTCGAAAAAGGGCCGATAATGTGCTGCAGGATAGGAAATATGAGTTACCCGGTCTCTTGGACGCTTTAACTGTTGTAACACTAGCAGAATGTTACTTTCAACCCAAGGTAAATGTTGTTGGCGTTGTATCGTTCCAGAGAGTGACACACTTATCCACTCAGGCTCTGTCAGCCTACTGTAACGAGGCAACCTAGTACCCAAATGCTGTGACCCATCTCTCATCAACTTTACTCCCATTGCTATTGAGGCCAAACATCTATATTGACTGGCTTACAGATAACGAAAATCTCTCTCTTCTGTTCCACAAATAATAGTCCGAAAGCGAACGCCCACTGAGTGAGAACCAGTATCGAGCCAGTTCAACAACCCAACTTGCTCCGGCACACACTGGACAGAAACCGGTGAGCCAGCCACGCTACACCACCAGCAAACCTGATGAAGCCAATGTTCGTGGGTTGAAAAGTGCCAGAAGATTTGGGGAAGCGAGTAGACAAAGTGGCTCCCTGAGTCGTTCGACTCCGTCTCTCAACTTGGCCGAAGTCGGAATGGATGACAGCGATTATCCGGCCGAGTCAGTAGCTACTGAACCCAAGGGGCGCATTCAATCAAAGCCTTACCATGATAGCCACGAGGCTCGTGCCGACGAGGTCAACAGTTTTGTCAGAGTAAGTCAAATGGTGTACATCACTTCTCCATGCAGCGTTGGCAATGAGGAAAAACAAAGTTCATCAAGCTGTGCGGTAAATATTTATCACTCCGTAAGAAAAACACTGAACTAACTATTGGTAGTTTTAGAACAAGTTACTGGATCGCTGAGCTACCGGGGTTATGGTGCTGCTGGTGACTTCGCATGACTCTCCAGATCGTGAGTACATAAACTCTAGGCAAGAGAGATCACTGTCTCTGAGAATTTCTTTTGGACACACGAAAACGACTGACGTGTCGAAATCGCAGTAATATATCTGTTAGTGAAATCGACATCCAGCCAAGTTCTGATTGATTGACAGACCGTTCGTTAAGTAGTTCGCAGATACTGCTACATCAAGAACACATCTTAAGTCCACCATAAGTACGAATACGGTGCCTTCCATCATCTTCCAGTTCGGCCCCTTAAGGCACTCAGCTTCTGTCCATTTCCTATGTGTAGCAAACATATCCTTCTCACTCGCATAGGCAAACGGCGATCTCTGTTCCTATTTGTGCCAAGGTGTATACGGAATCATACCTACAAGGAATCATAGAAAGAGCATACCTAATTGTACGAATTCAATCCTTTCTAAGCATGCCATTTTAGTATTCATGTGTCTACTTTTCTTAGACTAAGAGTTTCGGACTGTCATCAAATGAGGAACAAGGACATCGCGGAAATATACCTCAAGGAAAACAGCTAACGGGGACCTTACCAGCCACTTCTTCTGATTCCGACGAATTCCGTGAGCCGCCTGCAGCACAAAGACACGAAACCCGTCGGTCAAGCATGACCACTGAGTACACTAAACACGGGCATCATACAGGAAAATCCAAACCGGCTTCCAAACTACACAGTTCCCATTCGCAGCCCAATATGGTTAAACCACTGATCCCCCATCAAACGACCAGACACAGTTCTTTATCCATTGAACCTGATAGACCGGCACTACATCCACAGCCAAACGAGACCGGGTCCGAAGCTTTTTCCAGTCTGGAGTCTGTGTCATCTTCTCAGACACCTTGCAGTCTACACGATGCAGCCGGAACCATTACGTCGACAAAACTGCCTAAGGAGAGAAATAGAGCGCGGCACCCTCCCCCACCGTCAGTTCCTTCTCAAAGTGAGAACAATAACCTTTATCCTACATGAATTATTTTTTATGATCCATCTCTATATATATGAATCAACACCGCATTTTCTCGAAGCTTAAGGTTAATCTCAACCGATGTGGTACTATGTACGGAAAAAACACCTCCATTTGTGGCGAAGCATCCGTAACAAAACTGATGTGCTCGGAGAACTAATTACCAGCTTACCCAGTCATATGTTTCTCGGTTATGCAAAGCGCGGTCCCTCCTAAGGATTCTGAGCATGGTACAATTTTCCGAGCAGATAAACGAGCATAGTCAATTAAACACGACTACGTGACTTGATGAGTAACATACTATATTATTAATCCTAGTAGAATGGTAGCGGCACGGTGCACGTCGCCACTGCATTAATTCATGGAAACTTGTCCATTGAGAGTAAGCAGACCAGGCACCACAACGGTGTCACGATGTGGTGGCTCAACTTGTCCTTGTTGTACACTCATCCATCCGGCCAATGCGTGTAGGCTGAATGACCATTTGCAGAGCCAGTAAGAGTGCGCACCGTTTAGGAACAGTTGGCGAGTGATTTAGCTGGTAACGGTTCCCCTAATAGATCGTCTCAATGAGAACGACAAAGAAGATAGGGAGCCACACAGTTTTGAATGTAGTGTTGTAACTAATCTGATGATCCCATCCACAAAGGTGTATGCGAAAAGCTAATAATGTGCCCTCAGACCAGTCGCTTTACCTATACTAAGTCATTACGCAAGGATGACGTTTCGAAATTCACTTAGAAAAGTTTAGCCAAGTATATTCTAAACGCCCAAGGGATTAGAAAATTTGGCGAAGGCAGGATTCAGTCAGCGGTGTCTAACCTGCGTGATTCCCGTTGAATATTTTCGACTTCGTTTGAGTGCTGCTCAACAAGATGAAGAGATACCGTTCAGCTTTAGTTGGAGTAGAAGAATTGGGTGTTTCCCAACCGGGTTGACATGAATGTCACAGTAATTAGGTTCCGCAGCGATCGAGTTCTGTGTTTGTTAGATCCGCTTCCACGAGTATTCCCATTGACTGCAAGGAGGAGAGCGGTTATCCCCAATAATTTCAAGTGGAGAGAAGTTATCTAAGGATGTTGATAAATCATGTGACACCAATGTGTGGAATGGGTCAGAATATACGTCTCAAGGTGACGGATCACCAACTCACAAATGTGGTAATCTCTAGTTTTTCAATATTAGCCAGCTATTTTAACCAATGCCTGGGCGAATCGCATCAACCGAAAACCAAAGCTTTTGCAAGCGACGGGCTTCACAAAACGCTTATCCATGTCCCTATAAGCATTACTCGGAGTTGTTTGGAAGCCTCTCTCGAGGGCTATTAATCCAATCACCTTACTTCCTGAGGCTATGGTACTCAGTGCTGTAAGTGGAGTGAAATATTGACGCGGAACCAAGCCGTAAGCCGACGAATAAGGAATCACTATCCCCATGCAATGACCTAGAAACACAGTTACAAGGACCTTTTGGTCAACCAGTATCTTGACATATCGGATGAGTACATGTTCCATGGTTCATCACTGTTAAGACCAAACAGTTACTCACATTAAGATCTCCACCAGCGCTCCATTTGGATCGATGGTTTCTACGAAGTAAACAATCCATCCCATTTTTTGTCGACAAGTGGTACTCCTCAACCAATGCCCCATGTCTGGTCGTGATTTACGGAGGTCAGCAGTCCCTGCCTCAACTCCTCTGGTTACACGGCAATAAGTATGACGTTTCCGAAGTAGCCACCATAGGTGTTACACTAAGGGCACATTAGCGCAGGTTAGCAATAATTTTTGGCACTGGAAGAAGCCGTGTGGGAACCCCCCCCATTTCACTATCTGCAATCTGGAAGATTGAATGCTTTTTCTGTTTGGCAACACAGATGGATCGTGTGTAGACGTAAGGCAAGAAATCATCATGATGAACCACCGGTATACGTTGGATCCTTCCTGTTGTAATTCGTCCTGTTTTTTCAATCGACAGAGCCGAACCGAACACCATTGGAAGAGAAGTCTTGGCGCCAGTTGAATCAGCCTTATGCTTCGGAGTCTGAGTTGTTAAACCGGAATCTTGATAGATACCATTCCGGTAGCCCCAGACCACAAAGCGCTTCAAACAACCCATCCGGTAGCCGTGTACCGTCGACTTGGCAAGAAACGAGTCTGAACTCACCGAATGATTCTCTACCTGTGAAGGACGGCTATGTGGGCAGGCCAGCGGATGAGTCGGGATCACGAAGCTCCTTAGCATCTGGGAGCCTGGACACGGTTGGGCTTGACGCACCTTCGAAGGATGAGCAGATCAGGTGAGTGAGAGGCTACCTTTTCGCGTTTATACTCGAGCTGAAAATCTCCTCAAGCAAGTATTTCATTGTCCACTCTTTTGTCATGTGCTATGACAAGTGCATCTGCTCTACCTCACTTTTCTGTTGCCTATTCGTCTAATTGCCTCACTAATGGAGGTATTGCTTTTCCTTCCTTATGATTGGATAGCTCACAATACAATGATGATCTCAACTAATCAGCGAGTTCGGATAAGTTTGCTTCATTAATCGATGACTTTTGGCATCTCATAGTTCACTACATCATCCGCAGTTTAAAAGATACTGAGTACAGTATCTAGATAAGTTGGTGTCCGTGTTGACCTTAGAGCTATGCCTATACCGTCTTCTATGAGTGGAGTTCAAACAACGGTTGCATATTAGCTGAGACCCGATTGGTATTGGGTTCTCAGACGTCAAGTCTACCAACATGACCTAGTCATACTCCAAACCTACGCCTAGCTGTCTGTAGCCTGGAAACAGGCGAGGATCAGTTCTATCACAATTTCATGAACGCCAAGGCCCATAAAACGGACATCATCATTAGGGTGGAAAGTTTCAACTCACTTGTTATAAAGTGAAAACCATCTTTGTGAAGTGGGTCGATACACTAACAACCACTTGGACAACTGATGTATCTAAACAGTCTGTAGGATGACCACAAAATTTCCCCTCCAGCAAGGCTTGCCGTCACCCTAGATGCCACTACGCTATCTGGCCTCTCCATTCAACATCCAAGTGTCGGCCACCAATTGATCACATTACCATAGGTTAGAGGTGGCGTGGTGGCATACGAGACTGTCTACCCTACTGATCAACTTGCCATGTATCTGCTCATCCTTGGGCATGTACGGCGATCCGTATGCATTTCCGTTGCTCACACATAAATAAACAAACACAACTGAACACTGGTGAGCTAGAAGACCCACCGTTCAATGTAGTATCAATGGAAACCACGGGAAAGCCTCGCTTGCTCCTCACCTTTGAACCTTGATCACCATTAGTTATTTTTCCAACCGAATATTTTCTACAAGTTTGTTCAGTGGCGTTTCTGTCTACTGCACAACTGCAATTTTAATCTCCGCAACATCCTCAGAACCACTTGTCTGTCGACCGCCTGCGCCCATTGGTGAAAAACAGTTAACTCCGCCGGTCCGTTTCCAATCGGCTAACGGGAAGGCCTTGTTCTTGTTTTAAATCCTAACGTTCTTATGAGTTACGACTGAATATGAGGGAAACAGCCGCAGACCATTCCGTTTCTGTAATATCACCAACGACATATCGCACGCCAACGCTGAGTCGATTCGCAAGTCGAACAGACACTATAAGTTGTTGGCTAAAGCCGTTCGGAATGCGGCGTTCATAGAGGGATCAGTCTGATTTTAATTGCCTCTACATTATTTGTGTATTTTATTCTCCACAGACTGACTGACACTCGTGAAAGCCAGATAAGTGCAGAGCAACCCGGGTTTCGTCGAGGTCAAGGCTACATCGACTACATCTTCACCATGCGTTAATTGTTGGCGCACCGCCACGTTTATTGCGACCCACCGTTGTCGCGTCGCTTGACATAAAACATGCCTTCGACCCAGTCGATCAATTTGTCTGCTGAGGAAAGGTGTGTCTGCTAAATACGTAAACATTATCAAAGCGCTGTACGCACATAGTTTGGACAGAGTTTATAGCAGGGTTTATAGCAGACTGTCGCCACCCTTCAGTATCACCAGCGATGTGGGACAAGGTTGCCCGCTGTCAACTTTCCTCTTCAACTTCGCTACTGATGATGTCATGAAAACAGCGTTCGCACGACACGACCTAGAATGTGTGGAGATACTTTCTGGTGAGCGACTTCTTGATTTGGAGTACGTGGACGATATTGTCCTAATCTTTGACAGCTCCCAAAAATGTCAAGCAGCACTGGACCGATTAACACTGGCGTCTATCGTTTTGGGCTATGCTTTGCTCCATCGAAATGCAAAATACTTCTCCAAGATTAGCAGGGGCCCACCCCTGCACTAATCCTTGGTGGTGATCAGCTAGAATTCGTTTAGGAATTCAAGCAGCTGGGCAGCTATATTAGCGCCCGTGGGATCGAAGATGTGGTTACGAACCGTATAGCAAAAGCTCGAGATGCTCTTGTCAATCTCCGCCACCTGTGGCGCAGACGCTACATTACTCTTGCCCTGAAGGGCAGAGTTTATAACGCAGCCGTCTGTTCAACCCTCCTGTACGGTTGTGAAACCTGGTCCATCAGGTCGACAGACATAAAGAGGCTCGTCACGTTCGAGCATCGCTGCCTTCGCAGCTTAGCTCATGTCTGGTTGGAGCACCGCGTGAGCAATGAGCGTGTTCGGCTTTGCGTACTTGGTGCAGGAAGAGCGGGTGAACCGCTCAGCACCATTATTTCACGCACCAGGCTCCGATGGCTGGGCCACGTGCTGCGCCTGCCAGCACACCGACCCCCTTGAGGTGCATTGTTTGCGCGCCGGGTGTGCGGTTGGAAAAGGAGGAGAGGAAGCCGAGCGATGACTTGGTCGAGAGAGTTGAAAATCCTAACTTCGAAGTTGGCGTCGGTTGGTGCATCCCGACTGCATAGCTGGGGTTCTAAGGACTATGAACACCTTTGGTTGGACACACTTGCTGATATGGCTAGGAGTCGGCCCCAATGGCGTTTGTGTTGTGAGTCCGTTTGTCCATCCCCTCCCGCTTGGCTTCCCCCTCCAATCACGATCTCATTCGCCAGGCATAATATTTTTTACGGCACGACAGCCGACTCTTAGCACTCCGGAACGATGTCCATCCGTTACTGGGGACTCAGCCGGCGTGCCACTGTTGTATTTTTTCTTGTCTTTAGTATTGCGGCAAATAGCTGAGGTGTTTTCCACCTGCAGCTAATGTGTATAATGATGATGATGATGGGTAAAGCGCTCTGCTCCTCTGTTCCCTTGCATCACCCTATGTGACACCTGCACTGTCTTCAAGTTGTGCTTAGGCATTCTCCACAGATTCTCCTTCTGAGTCATTGGTCCGAATGTCAGTCCAACCTCTGAAGTGTCATACAGCATTTGGACCTGACATTTTCCCTAGCTCTGTCTATAGATGGAGCGAATGTAGCCGTCAATGAAATTCTCTTCCCCGTCACGAAAGTTTCCCCAGCCAATTGGTCGAATAAATGGCCAACCGGATTAACCAAATATCCATTGCGAGTATATGCTAATTACCTAAGAAGTTTTCTTCTCTGTGCTGTGTCCAATGCTTTTGTATTCTTCTTGTTTCGTAGGACTTTTGTGACTAGAAAACTTTTCTGGCAACAAACAGGCTGGCCGTCGTTTGGGTCTAAGTTACCTCCGCCAAATTTTCAAGCTTCGTTTACTCGAGAACTAAAAACTAACAATCATTGTATTCTCCGATAATCGAGCTGCTTTTAGTCCCGTAGGTAGATTTACCCCACGAAACGATCTACTAGGGTTCCGTGTGATCGGTATATTTGTTGTTCTAATCCTGTAAGTCGTATCCACCCACACACCCAGTAATACCTATACTCGTGGCAGATTCTGTTCTTCGTTCGGTGTGAGCCAGCGCTGGTCTATACCACGTTTCATATCCAACTCTTCCATTGAAGATGCTGTCCACCTAGCATTGAAAGCTGATCAGTATTGAGATTTACATTTCCTCCTCGTGATAGAGACATTGGTCTGGAGTATGCCGGTGGTAGTTCTAGGTGATAAACACATATGGGCGCGGTCTGTATTTTACCTCATTCAAGTCTAGTGTATTTGTTCAAGTTTGGGAGGTGCTTTCATCTGCTTTCGCTGTTGTGGGTCACAAAGTGAATCAGGTTGGTGGCTTTGGTTATTTGATGGGGCCGTAGGTCAAGTGCCACCTTAAACTAATAAAACTGATTCCGTATTTAATGACCTATGTCGTCGAGACATCAATCTCAAGCGCAATGGGTACAACGCCACCAACCTTTCGGTCATTTTCTACGGCTGTGACATCTGGCCTGTTCCCTTGGAATGGTACAATGTTTTATCAGTTTTTGACAACCATTGAAAAGGATTGCCCTGTTGTGTAGTCACTGTATCGTGTTCCCAGACAAGAGCTTGGACAGAATAATACTTACGTTTAGTCTATTGCTGTCCAACATCGTTTGGGAAGGTTCGCCTGCGTTCTGCGTACGTCAGATTTTTTCTTCCTTATCCCGTATTGCTTGTTTCTGTTGGTGCATTCCTGATTAAAATGAACAATGAACAATGATTTATCATGGGATAAAAGCAAGTATTTGACAAGTCCCGTAGGATGGTTGGGGTGAATATGATGAAATCAAAATATATGTGGTCATCTAGCAAAACTCTGCCGAGAAGAATACTTTGCTAAATAACAACAAATTTAAAAAGCCGAGCGTAAACGTTCAGAAATACACTGTGGTGCAGTGATCGTTGATATAAGGCATGAGAAAAGTAAAATATGGTCGCTCACTTGGGTCCATTTGATACATAACTCCTGTAGAAAAGTATGCTTGGCGTAATCCACAATTGAGGAGTTTAGGTAACAAAATGTTAGGAGCTAAGAGCAACATCAAATCGTTTTTTGCAAACATCCAAGGTAGGGAGGATACAACTGATTCTGGGAGTGCGTTCCAGGGTTGGCAAACCCGAAGGGAAAAGTAATTACGTCGACACTCTAGACAGCTATATTGTTCCTTCAATTTTAAGCAGTTAACTCTGAGCTGCGAGTTGGGGCTAAGTTTCGACAAATGCCGACATACGTCGTTTGGGTCAGTTAATATCTGATACGCTAATATGAGATCGCCGTGCAGCCTTCGATAGCGTCCGCTGAAAATTCTCAGCAACTTCAGCCTTCGGTGAGAAGAGTGATTGCTATTCGTTGTGGTGCATCTAACGCCTCTAGGTCACGCTTCAACCAAGCTTGACAAGCTTGGATAGCGTATTCAGCATGCGGGTGCAGGTAGGCATTGTGCATCA